TCAAGAACATGTGTGGGCATAAACGTTCGCAGGGCGTGGAGAACAATTGCTCGCGGCGCTGCGAACCATGGAAACCCAGCGGTATGCAAAACTTCTGTCGCGTACCTGCGGAAACAAGCGCAACTTGCGCTATTTTTCGCCCGGCGGCAAAACATTTTGCCGACAAAACGGCCCCCTTTTTGGAGTCCAGAAACGGACCCCAAAACGGGGGCCAAGTCGTCCGGACACAAGCAAATCAAATTGAGACTGAATGAGTGGCCTCCATTTTGGGGTCCGTTTCTGGACTCCAAAACGGGGGCCGTTTGGTCGGCAAAATTTTGGTCACCAGGCGAAAAATAGCAAGAGTTTTCGATTGTTTCTGCAGGTACGCGACACGCTGGGTCCCATGGTTTTGCAGCGCCGCAGGCACTTGTTCTCCACACCCTGCGAACATGTATGTCCACACATGTTCTTGAACTGGGGAGGCCCTCTGTGGCGAGACCGGTTTTTGCTAGGGTTTTGGGACCCCAAACTGGTGTCCAGAAAAATCACTTTTTTCGATCCCTTGAAGGAGCAAAAAGTTTGGAAAACCTGTGAGATTTGAGAATTGCTGGGGGAAAGGGTTTGGCCTGTATGATGTTCTTGATCGGAAGCAATCAAGCTTAGGGATCAATGGTCAGCTGCTTTTTTCGGCAGTCTGATTGCGGCCTTGCACGCTTGGCGCATTTTTGTTTGCTACAAAGCTTGTGGTGGACATCCGCCGTGAGTCGACCTAGCGCCCTGAGACCAAACGTTGCGAACCCATTCTTCGTATTTGTGGGCTGTCTTAATTTTGGATGAGGAAAGAAGGGTGGAGAGACGTTAAGCGAAGGTTTGGCGCCGTGGAGCCTGTCATGTTGTTTGCGTATGTTTACAGGAGCCATCTCTGGTCGTTCAGTATGACAAGGAAACCTTGTTTCGTTTTATTTGACGTCGTTGTTTGATGCATGTTGCGAAGGATGGGGTTTTGAAAAGATATTGTTGAGGTTTTGAGCTCGCGTCCTTTATGTTTGTTGCAAGCTACGCCAGGCTTGCGCCCGGGTCCGGTTCCATCTTAGCGTCAACGTTCAAATTTTCCCTTGCAATATAGGGGTTTTGCGGTTACAATCAAGCTCTGGGTTGGGTCGGACCGTCTATTGCAGTGCGCGGTACCACCTCGGTACCACTTCATTACGCGGGCTCTTTATTACAATGCGCGGTACCACCTTGGTACTGCTCGGGCCCTCTATTACAATGCGCGGTACCGCCTTGGTACCGCTCGGGCCCTCCATTACAATGCGCGGTACCGCCTTGGCACCGCTCGGGCCCTCTATTACAATGCGCGGTACCGACACCCCGTTTGCGTTTTACAAAGTTTTAATTGGATCGGAATGAGTGAGGAACTTCCAAGAAAACACCAACAGAAAGCCACGAAACGCAACCTTAACATTGTAGTCCCGGCGCTTCTTCAAACGGGGCGCTCCACACCGCTGCAGCTGGTCCTGCGCGGCCCTGCGTCAGCGCCACCCGGCTTCCAGAGACCAGCTGACTGATCAGGAACAATGTGAAGCGGCCAAGCGGATCACGACGCGTGCGAAAATCTTGTCCATTGACGGCCCCAAACCCAGCGCCAAAAACGCAGTGGATTCCAGGGTCGCCAAAGTGGGCCTCCCCAGTTCAAGAACATGCGTGGGCATAAACGTTCGCAGGGCGTGGAGAACAATTGCTCGCGGCGCTGCGAACCATGGAAACCCAGCGGTATGCAAAACTTCTGTCGCGTACCTGCGGAAACAATCGCAACTTGCGCTATTTTTCGCCCGGCGGCAAAAAATTTTGCCGACAAAACGGCCCCCGTTTTGGGGTCCAGAAACGGACCCCAAAACGGGGGCCAAGTCGTCCGGACACAAGCAAATCAAATTGAGACTGAATGAGTGGCCTCCATTTTGGGGTCCGTTTCTGGACCCCAAAACGGGGGCCGTTTGGTCGGCAAAATTTTGGTCACCAGGCGAAAAATAGCAAGAGTTTCGATTGTTTCTGCAGGTACGCGACATGCTGGGTCCCATGGTTTTGCAGCGCCGCAGGCACTTGTTCTCCACACCCTGCGAACATGTATGTCCACACATGTTCTTGAACTGGGGAGGCCCTCTGTGGCGAGACCGGTTTTTGCTAGGGTTTTTGGACCCCAAACTGGTGTCCAGAAAAATCACTTTTTTCGATTTCTAGTGATCCTTCACGTAATGTTTTGTGATCTTACATGTTCTACGTGCCATTTTGGTTCTAGGATACTTCAATGTTCAGCCCCTCCCTCCTCTACCCTCTTATTAGCTTCTCTCTGCTTAGTCCACCGACAGGTCAAAACGACCACAGGCATCAGGCTGATCCATTCAGCCCCTCGCGAGCACGCGCCTCTCAAGGAGGTGAACGCGTCACGGTCAAAACGACCTGCAACCACTCCGAAGACACGAGTGGTGGGACGGTGAGATGTCCCAACAACCTCGACGATTTCTGGCAGTGAAAATGAAAGTAGCGCGTTAGCATTGGAGAGAAGTTGTGGATGTTTTGTTGAACATTGTAAGTATCTCTAGAACTTGCAATGTGCCTATGCCCGTTGGTAAAAATCATTATATACAAGCTTTTCATGCGACTATTCGTGCAGGAACTTGTTCTTTCAAGTTTCAACTTGATGAACTGAAACATTGTTTCGTTGTTTATTCTAGTTCTATACATTGTCATTTGTTTGACATGTATCCATTGCTCCTGAGCTGCTGCTTCCTTTGTCTTCTGGAGCTTCGAGTTAAGGTTTCTTTGCATTTTGTTCTTCTTCTTCTTCGTGCGCCTTGCCTGAGACACTTGGACACTCCTCTTCATCGCTTCCTTCAGGATGAGTGCGTTGCTCATGGCAGTCTTGAATTGCTTTCTCGTCTGGATGTTAATATTCAGTGTCTATGCGGACGTTTGTTTTCTGATCTTTTTTCAATGTTCCCAAAATTGTTGATGCGGCTGTGATTATAAAAATGGTGCGGGAAGAGTAAGATTGAAACAGTATACCTATTTGAAGTATTGCCTTTTTTTGGTAGTCATCTAACATCTTTAACAAGATTGAACAGTTTATGGGGCTTTTGGCTATGGGCTGATTCTGCACATTTGCTGGCCGTCAGCCATTCTGTAGGTTGGTTGCAGAACATAGGACTACTGAGACTGAAAGCTTCTTTGGTGCATGCACACAAGATGGAGGGCCTGGAAACTCGCTTGAACATGAAAAGCGGACAAGAACGTTCTTGACTTTGTTTACCATTCGGCATTGGACGCCCAACACCTTTTTTCGACGCTCAAACGATTTCATGAAATGCCAGCTTCTGCAACTCAGGACGCGAATTGTCAAACAGATACTTTGTGCACACTTGTGTTTCAAGTGAGCAATTCCAGGATGGTGGGGCAGATGGTGCGCAGCTTTCCTGACCAACGCATCCTTTTTGCAGCAACAAATTGTTCAAAACTGATCGGTCAGAATGGAACCGTATTGCATTTGTTTTGCAAGGTTCCGCCTCGTCGCGACCTCATTAATGATGAATGCATTGAATCATCCATGCTTCTCATCAATCTTTTTGAAGGTCTCAAGCCGCGCAAAGAACTGAGGAACCCATAAACTTTGGTTTATGTGAAACTTTTGTTTGGTTTTTCTTATGCACATTCATATTTACAACCATTGTCATACATGTTTGCCAGGATGCCCAATCTCAAAGGGTTGAAAGCGAGTTGCTAGATGATGGGGAGGCAGTTTTGCTGCCTGTTGAACACATGCAGCCAAATGCTTCATGATCCTTGTGTTGTGTCTGAAGTGTTCAGGCTTTGGCCCAATTTCATGCAAAAGCAAAGGCGAGGAGGAAGAACAGGCAAAAACGCGTCCAGCATCTTGGTTGCACGTTCGGCTGCCATGGCCCATGCTGTAAAAGGAATGAATGCAAACCGCGTGAGAGGTATCAGTTCCTGTTCAAGGACATGAACCTGGGCTGGTTACTTGAAGTCATTTCGAGGAACAGTGTTTTGAACAGGCAGGAGCCTTCGTGATCATGCTGGCGGTGGTAATGATCACGAAGAAGATACAGCAGTGGTGACTTGCATAGCATAGCTGGGTCACGCTTCTTACACGCAAAGGCTGTCCTTTGCACAGGTACAAGCCGGCAGCTGACAATGCTGCCCCTGCGGAGGCGAGCTGGACACATACAAGCACAACTTGATCAAATTTGGTGGGATGACAGCCTCAAGGCGAAGACAACGAAACCAAATCTTGCTAGTCATGACGGCCTCGATAGCCCAGCACCAAGTTGAAAGCCAAACTTTTAGACGCTTCAATCACAGTTGGACTTCCTTGGTTCCTAAGGCGAGCTTTGACAGAATGCAAAAGAGTCTCACACACACAAGTCTGGCAATAATTCATGATGGAACCTTTTGCCACAATCAAGTTTCATTGGAACAGTCATCATAGGTTTGGTTGGATGTGTAAAGCAGATGCAGCACCAGTGCGACAAAGAACTGACTTCGCCTGTGGTTCGCTTGCAAGGACATGGCAAAAAAGTGTTCGGAAATGCTGTGCAATGCAGATATGGGTTAGTTATGGTTAGTTCTAGTTTTTGGTATTTTTGGCGGAAATGAGGTGTGGAAACATACGTGGCTCCGCAGTTCTGCGATAGAAACTACAATTTGCAATGTGGCAGCTCCGCCCGCACGGGGAAAGATAATTATTTGTCGCCGCTGGAAGCAAGCTAGGTAGCCAAATCTGAAGAGCTTTGCTGCAAGATTCTGGACTTGTTCGTTGCTTCCAAAGCACACTACTCAAAGCTTCTCGATAAGTGTGTGTCATCCTCAGCGGCCAAGCAGAGCTTAGGAGGAGCACACTACACTTTAGGATTTGCACGTGTCATCCACGCACAGCCCCTCCAACTCTGAACATTAATCCACCGCACGAAGGCGAGGGGAAGGTGTAGAAGGCTCCGCCACTTGAGGCTTCCCCTTGATTCCAGGGTTACACACATGCCCCTCCAAAAGTGCACACGAAACAAAAAGATGAAGGATGACATGACCAGTCTAGCAGGCACGGACATGAAAGCAAAAAATATGAAGCGGTGTTTGTGTACACCAATCAACGAAAGGTAAATTGTTGCAGAGAATGCCAGGGGGTTGAGTTGAGTGAAGCTGGTATCAACGAAGACCTTCATTAGTCACTTGTTCCTTTGAGATGTACTCCGGATGCTGCTGGCTAAAGCGAAACTCCGGCCTTTGCATCGATTTGCACTAAGGGGCGATTTCACGTTTCCAACACGAGCTTCTTGTTGTTGCAAGCGGCGTTGAAAGTCGAAACGACGCACAATGTATCAGAGCACACGCCATTAGAGTACAGCCATCAGACTTTCTCTTCTTTCTGCATTGTGCAACTTCAACTTCTCCTTGGCTTTGCGCATCCTCAACAACATTGATTTCCTTTCCTTTCCCTCCCCTTTCCTGCTCCAACCCATCCTGAACTATGTGCGAAATTGTTTGATCCCCGAACAACCTACATACAGACCTCACTCCGGTCGTTACCTTGACCTTCGATTGTTCCATACCAGTTAGAAGCCACCAGGGTGTTCCACACCCGATTGGGTATGCCTCGGGAAATGTACAATGATAGGTGTGACACTGCTTTCAAACTCCCTAAACTTAAGTACATTTGTACAGCTAGAGCGTCCCTTGAATCGAGCTGTAGGGATCTGACACCCTCTGGAAATGCAGCAGTGTTTTCTTCTCTTTCGCCTTGTCTCATTTCTTTTCACACTTCAGGGTGGAACCTGGAAAGGTCTCGCTGGGATCTGCGGAATGACTGGCATCATTTGCGAAGTGAATTGCTTCCAGAAACTGAACGAAATCACTGAAGCGACCGTCCGGATCCGTTTCATGATGTTGAACCCAAATCAGGCAGGAACGAAAATCTGGCTTCTTGGTCAAATCATCATAGATCAAATTCAACATGCTCTCCTTGGGAAGTCTGCAAATTGTAGAACTCCAGTCAGCCAAACTCGACACTCCGGCTGGGAGCTTGATCTTGTTCAATCCATCATGCGTCCCTGGCTTCACCGGATTCTGCTTTGACGCAAGGCTCAACTGCATGTGTTCCTTCTCCAAGGATGTGATCTCCTCATATGGAATTGGTTCCCATGATTCATCCAGACGATGGCTTTGCAATTTCTGCCTGATGAGCTCTGACCATGACTGACTTGGCTTGAGCGAGCTCTTCGGCTGTCACCGGAGTCGATGGAGAGGCCATCCTTCACTGAAAGCTGGACCGGTTGAAAGTTCACACACGCTCGAATTTCCAAAAGACAAGGCTGCAGAAGTATATCATTGTCTATATTCCGTCTATCTGACAATATGTATTCACTGTCCATGCAGTATACAATATACGAATAAAAGCTGCACTTTGATTCACCTGAAAAGAACGGGTGCACTTTCAAAAGGGTTCTGCAAGAACATTCTCCCCAGCATTGCACAAAACCCAACAGTGTTCAGCACTGCACATGCAATTGCACTCGAATGCGAACCTCAGAATTCATGAGTCATTCTTGTTCGACGACTTGTGATGGGCTTCAGCTTGCTGGCCAGCGACTTGCTTGTGGGAACTCTTCCCTTTTTCGATCTAGAACAGTTTGTTCATTTGCCAGCTGATATGTGGCTGATCGAATGACTGATCGAAGCAAATCCATCGGTTCGGCACGATCCTTAGTCATCCCATCTGCTACCGGTCCTTCGGTCGTCCAGCACACCTCCAGAACCTAAAGAGTTGTGGTCGAAAAGAGTTCTACAAATTCTACAATACAATCCATTCCTATACAGGCTCTACGCTGCGTCGAGCGCGACAACAATCTGACCTCAGGATAAAGGTCCCGTACATTCCCCTGACTTTGTGTTTTTGGTTCGATGCAGCCTTTGCTAACACATCAGAAAACAAGACACAAGAAGGATAGGTTGTGGCTTTCACACCCAAACAGATGAGGTAGGGTATAAACATGCCTGTGAATTGCTTCGCAGGAAGTCCTAGAGACTTCCCAGAGGCGCGTGTCATCAATCATGGCAGGCGAAGCGCAAGCCTTTTCAACGGCATGTCCCTCATGTTAGCTGAGTGTCTTGATAGAATCTATAATCCTTTTTTGGATGCAGAAGTTCTCCAGCTTAGTTCGCTTTCTGCAAGTCAAACATCGTCGGCTGAAGAAACACTTGGTGACCCAGAGAAGTCTGAACTGATAAATCTGGTCCAGTCTGAGTACTCAACCAACTCAGAGCTCTGTTGACTGCGCGAAGGGCGGACACTTCCTGTGGGTTTGCTGGCAACCATGGTCTTCAAGCTCTTTCCTTGTTGATCTTGATCAGTTGAATGTGTTCAGCATATTCCTTCTGGCAAAAACTGATTTCTAGGCTATTGGGATCCTGTACCGACCGCCACTTCCTGAAAGGAACACGTGTGCGCAATTTCTGCACTGCAGGGTGATATGCCGCCCCATGTCCTCCGGTGATTGTGTTATCTACGTGAGCGCCTAGAATACACCCTATCGCACTTTCAATACCACTCAGGAGGAGCGCCGTTTGATTGTTTGAACGGCGACTAGGTCTATGGTCACAGACTAGAAGTTCACGATAAACACTAGAATTCACTAGACCGAAACGGTTTCGACCATCGCCACTGAGGCAAAATCAGCAGCGTGCAGCCGAAACCACAGCCAGATTCAGTCTAGCACAAAAGAGCTGTCAATTATACAACTGGCAGTTGTTCAAGCAAAGTTGCACCATCACAACCCTGGGAATCTGCACCGGTGGCAAGTTCTCATCCCCGCTCAGCAGCAACCTCATCACCTCTCCTTTTCACCAGTACACCAGCAGAAGTAGCTTTATCCCCAAACGAAAAGTACAAACGCAACTGCACAAAAGATGAAATCGCACCGATAGTTTCCGCTGCATTCATGCAGTCGCGCGGCTCGGCTTTCCTTTCCTTAATCAGGCTGTTCAGGTGCTCATAGATTGTGATGTGCAATCCGTTTCGCATGAAACTGTTTTGGGGGGCTGTGGATGCTGCTTGTTAAGAAACATGGACGTGTTTCCAAGAGGTCATTTGATGCATTTTGATAATGCAGAGGATACTGCACATTCACACTAACAACTTCGCAGCCGCGCAACTCGAAGAGTCGTGGGAGCAGCTGAAGTCGACTGCTGCCACGACGGAGGCGGGGAGTTTGATTCATCTTGAGAGCATGCTGTTTTGCTCCGAGAGAGTCGTTGGCAGTTTATTGCAGCGACACCAGCTTAGTGAAGAGTTCTTTCTTGATTTGGTCTTGCTTGGCAGGTGTTGAAGCCTCCAGAGTACCATCTAACATTAAACTCCCAGGTTCCTGGAAGTGAGAACCTGAAGAGCAGCACTGTTGTCGTTAGGATCTGAGCGAAACATCAATTATCGTTTATGGAGGTTTGAAGATGGAGAAACCTGGCTAAAGCTGAGGTCCTGGAATCGTGGTCATGGCTTTTTGACTGCACTGACCCTTTTCAAGTATCAAGGGGCAACTTTCTTTCTTGGGCCATTCAATTACAGAAGTTTTGGAACGATCTGTGATGCCTTGAGATTGTTTTAGACACTGCAAAGCTGTGTGTCTAGCGAGGCTGACCCCCAGAGTCTGAACAAGGTCTCGGCGGAAAGCTCCTGGCACACTGTCGCTGGTCGTGCGGGCCTTATCATGTTTTCGTTTTTGTAAGACAAAGTTTGTAGTTCGGGTTGTATGTTGAACTGTGTCCAATGCTTGTGAAAACTCGATACATCTCATATTGTCAAGGACAAGCTCGCATGGAGCGTTTCCACCAGACGCGCTCAAGGCTGCCTGTTTAAAATGGCTGAATGATGAAACACATTTGATGCAGAATTGGTCAGCTTTCTTTGGTTTTTGGCTTGTTATTGTGTTTGTTTGTTCTATCCAAGCAGACCAATCCTTGCGCGATTTTAAGATTGCACATCTGGCAGGCATAAACATCACGATGCTACAAGATATGTGGATGCCGAGTTGCTTTTTGGCACTTCAGAGGTAACCGCGCAAAACTGTTTTGATATAGCGAACTTAGACATACCTCGGGATTTTGCTACTAATTTTTCTTATGTTGAAAGTTGTAGCCTCACAAAGGCGCGAATCCAAGTAGTGCTTTGCAATAACTTTCGGTGAAAAGTGGCAGGTGTCAAGTGAGTTGATGTGCTTTGGCATTTGTGGTATCAGCGTTCTGCTGTTAGAAGGGTTTGCTCGAGGCCTACGTCGTCAGCTTCTGGCTCGGTTGCTGGCTGCGCAGAACTAGCATAGTTTGTGGGAACTGGCTAGCCATACTTAGAAACGTACTCAACCTAAGCCTTTGCTAATCCTTAAGGATAGTTTTGCGACACAGCTTGCAAGATCGTATGAATTGAAATGACAGGCTAGCAATGGGCATAGTCCGCCCAGTCAGCAGCAGGTCGGGCAGAGCCATGCACATCAGATTATATAAGATGGAAACTGGGTGCAAATAGTCGACTGCTGATCCAGTCAATCGGTTTGAAACGGGAGGGGAAGGGAATAGAATGTCAACCGGACCAAGTTGTTATCTCAGGGGCTGCGTGCGCAAGATTTAGCCTCGTCTTTGACTGAGCTCGTCAGATTCCTAAGACAACGCTCTAGCGAAGTCGCAAGAGGGCAATTGTGGTTGTTGTTTCTGGTACTCTGGTTTCGCGCTTCTCTCAGGCTAACTTTGTAGCACAATCACAGCGAGAGAATCTGCCAGCTGGTGTACCTGTTCCCGCAGAGGTGCGCTTCAGATATTAATTCTTTCACTGCAAGAAACTTAGCAAACTTGTCGTAGGCATCAGCTTTGCAGAGTCTCTTGGAACAAGTAGCTCAACAAAACCTACTCAGAGCTGGGCTGGCGCAACTTGGCTGACGTGGATCTGCTGCCCGAACTGGACATGATTTCATGACGAGAGAAACTGGATTTGCCCAGGAGCGTCCCAGAACAGAAGCGGCAACATCCCGTTGTAGAACAGGCACGGACCTCATCATGACATGCAATTGTTCTGAGGGTCTTGCAAAGGAAACACCGCAAAGCTTTGAGGCTGCGGCTTGGCCATGCCCTGCAGGACCGCTAAATGGCCAGAGGTGGGAAATCCGAAATGTCAAAGCGCTGTGTGTGTCTAGGGGTTTTTACTTCTCAATGACTGGGTGGCTGATTGGTGTTTTGGTCCACCGCTGCCGCTCCTCCCTCGTGTCCCCACTTGTCTGCCTGTGTGATCGACATTTGTTTGCCACTGCTGCCTTGTCTCCTTACTTGTCGCCACACTTGTGTTCGTACATGTCGCACTAGCTGTGAAGACTAGATTGGCCCTGCCAATACCGCCATGTCCCAAAACAGCCCTTGGGTTTGTGCTGAGACTGCGGGTGCGGAGCTCGAAGAACAGATGATGGGATTTGTGGAGTTAGCTGGGGAGGTGTTGTTGGACCCACTCGTGCTCAGTGGAAGCTTTCATGATGTTTTTGAGTTTCTTGATTCCCAACAGCGAAGCTTACTTGCCCTGAGCCACTAAAGGTTTCGGAGCAGATCGGAGCAGGTCCCGGACCAGGTGCAAGTTCCGGAGCACGTTCTGGAGCAGATTGCGGAGCAGGTTCCTGAGCAAATTCCACAGCAAGTACCTGAGCAAGCTCCGGAGCAGGTTCCAGAGCAACTTCCGGACCATACTCAGGAGATCTCAGGAGTAGGTTCCGGAGCAGGTTCTGTCCCTCAGGCCGCCACGCTCACATGGTGTGCGATGTGTCATACTAAGGTGCAAGCATGCTCATGCTGACGTGCGGTCTTTTCTGACATGCTCGGGTGTTGTCACGATGGTGTCATGATCACTCCAACGTGTTCTATCTGCTGGCTGTCACACCAAGGTCTTCTCAGGCTGTCGTGCTCACATGTTGTCAGACTAGCAAACCTAACATGACGAGACTTGTCACGTTGGAATGTGGATGTTGGGTCATATTGTCGTGTTGACGTGACATGGCGACAGGCTGGAGAGCGGGTTCTGGAGAAGGGTCAATGTTTCTTGCTGCAGTGTTGTGATGCTTGCGCGCATGTGGAGATTTGCAAGCAACTCAAAAGAAAGGGGAACCAGCGCACGGCCCACAATCCTCAGCCGAAAAACGAACAACAGTTCTCAAGTAAATCTCCCTATTCAAAGAAAGGGGTCCACACATATTTCGGCACAAAGGCCTCCAACCAGGTTGACCCTTCCGCGCTCTCTTCTTTTTCTTCTGACCCTTTGGAGTGGGAAGACCTGCGGCCCCTAACCGGCACAGACAATCCAGCCCATGCCAAACTAACGCCAGAGAAAAACAATATACTATATACCTTGGCGCAAACTCACGCAAGCGCCAAGGAAACCCTCTGACAACAGACTCACCTGGAGATGAAGATTGGTGAGGACTGTGTTGGCGACCCCGGTTCCTATCCAGTTCACTCCTAATCTAACCACTAGCCGTTGCCTACAAAGCCCCTTTCGTTGGACGCCTGCGTCCACCCCATGGCATGCATTTTTCCATGTGGTGATGGTTGCATGGCAAATTGAAAAGAGCTGCCTGTTTCAATTGGCAACTACGCAAATTCATGCCCAGCTCTTGGGAATGCTTTGTTTGAGTTTCTTTAGGGAGTCAGGCGCTGTTCTTAGAGTTAGTTGCTGCTTGGGTGGGGTCCTTGCCGGTGCGACTTTATCGCCGCGCTTTCGTAGCCTACATTTGGGCATAGTTGTTTTTGGGGCATCCTTTTGCGCTCTCCGAAGCTGTCTGGAAGACTGTTTTGCACGCAAGGGTGCCCAAGGGCGTAGTGTTAGCCACAAAAGTGTACAAAAGCTTCCCTGGCGATTTTCGCGGAAAGCGCGCGGAAGGCGCGCGCAGCAAGCCTTGCGAAAATTTTGTTGTAAGGTGGGTTTGGTCCGGTTTGGTTTCTGTTCTTCCTGCTTTTGTTCTTTCCCTTCGCTGCTGTTCTTTGTGTCCTTCGCGTCAAGTTTTGCACGTGTGGTTTTCTTGTTCTTCGCATTCAAATCATTGCAGCTGCAAGTTTTGCATGATTTTTTTGAGTACAGGGCAACCATGGCTCGATAGACGCATGTCATGAAACATGAGAGCCAGGAGAGGCATTGCGTTTCAGACTAAGACGCTTAAGATTTCAACAACGTAGTGGCAGCGATGTGCGCGCGCTTCCACTGCTGCGCAGTAACTGTATGACATGAAGACGCCCAACACTTGACAACGCAGTGACAGTGATGTGCACGCACTTGCCCTGTTGCGCAGTATCTGCGGTTCTGTCTGCTGTAGCTGGCAGGATGACGCGGTTGGACGACTCTTTGTTCCTTTTCTTCAATTAGTTGCTCACTATTTTATTTCGTTGTTGTTGTGGATGTTCTCGTTTGAGGCTTGTAGTTGGTTGGTTGTTGGCTGGTTGGTTGGTTGGTTGGTTGGTTGATTGGTTGATTGGTTGATTGGTTGATTGGTTGGTTGGTTGGTTGGTTGGTTGCTTGCTTGGTTGCTTGGTTGCTTGGTTGCTTGGTTGGTTGCTTGGTTGCTGAGTTGCTTGGTTGCTTGGTTGCTTGGTTGCTTGGTTGCTAGGTTGCTTGCTTGCTTGCTTGGTTGCTTGCTTGCTTGCTTGCTTGCTTGCTGGCTTGCTCGCTTGCTTGCTTGCTTGCTTGCGTGCTTGGCAAGAATGTAGAGGTCGTAGTTAGTAGCTGTAGAAATTGAGATGATTGTTAGGGTTCTCCTGGTTGTTCTGGCTGCTGCTGCTGCTGCGGCTGGTGTTGTTGTTGTTGTTGTTCTTGCTGCTGTTGTTCCCTCGCGCTCGGTGGTTTGTTTGTTTGTTTGTTTGGTTGGTTGGTTGGTTGTTTGCTTGTAGTTCTACTTCTGGTGCTTCTCCATGTTCTTTTTTGTTCTTCTTATTCTTGTGTTCCTGTTCTGGCTCCTCTGCCTTTTCTGGTTCCTTCTTCTTTTTGCTCCAACCCACCACGCTTCGTGTCACGGTGTTTGTCAAGATTTATGTATCATGTTTTTTGTGCAGGCAAAGAACGGCGCAAAATTTAAGTATAGTGTTGGTTGCTTTGTCGTGTATTTTTTGACGCTTTTGTTTCCGGGTTGCCGTCGCTGGCTAAGTTTCTGTTGTGATGCTCGTCACGCATGTTGCGCGCGCTGCTCTGATATCTCAACTCAACGGCCTACTTGCCCTTGTTATGATTGTGCGCGCGTATGCAAATGTGCAGATTGCTTTCAAAGGGCTTTTCAAACGAGAGCGCATTCTTTGTCAAAAATACAGTCATGAAAACACAATGAGAGAACTTAGGAGTAACAACTCCAAGAAATCTAGCGGTGTTCCTTGCACCAAGACCCTGCGGGCGGAAGCAAGCTCCACTCATATGAGCGCTAAGTCTCTGTTCGACGGCAGAGAGGCGAGACTCTGTGCAACCCGAAAAAATATCCAAGCTCTAATACAGGCCGCAAAGACACAGGGCTCCGCAACTCAGCCGGACGCTTCCAGGCTTCATCTTTAGAACTGCGTATTGATATAAGATACTGAGGTAAGCCCACCAGGTTTAGTCCAGGTACAAGACAGGAGAGGGGAAACAGAATACAGTGAATACCGGCAAGTGCGGGCGCCCCTTTTCAGCGTGAAAACGGCTTTGAACCAAAAGAAAAGGGCGCCCCCAGAACTGTGAGCGTCTTACTCAGTTCAACCTTTGTACAAAAGCATGGGCTTCAATTCTATCCTATAACCACGAATGGTGAATGTTGATTGATCAAGGCCTTGTGTATGTAGACCCTGTGAGATCGATCCTCAATGCGAAATGTGCCTCTCTGCCTTCTCTTTCCCCATGGCTGACAGCAGTAGAGGCCCGTGCAATGTCGACTTCACCCTATAACAACGATTATATATTCTTACAGACGCTGGCTTTCGTCCCCTTTCTCAGGTATATATGTATACATAGACGCAGCTGCAAAGTGCTAGTAAGTATCAAACATATTTCAATTTTTGAAGAAGAAAGCAGGTCTCCTCAAGTACTGTAGTTGTTGCAGTTCTTTGTGCTTTGCGGCGTGCGGTTTGACAAAGTTGCATGAAGAACACGCAGCTGCAGCCAGAAACGCATCTTGCATTTAGTTTCCTGTTCGTAGAAATTGTGGTTGTAGGTCGGTGTGTGAGAGGGGTGCTTTGAAGTAGAAAGGGTACATGTAAACTTCAGATTCTTCAAAAATTTGTTGCGTGTCACGACTGGTAAGGGCTAGCTTGAGTTTGATTTGCGAAGCAAAGGGGTTAGCTTGAATGACCTGCTCGGGACCAAATATTGATATATCAATTCCATTGACCTCTTCCCTCCAATGTGATGAACAACTGATAAATCAACTATTTTGGTGACTCCCCCCCTCGCCAGCGCCACTATCATCACCCACCTACCATAGCGTGACGTCCATTCACTGGCAGTAACAGCAGTGCCCCTACAATGAGGTTGCGCAGCACGGCTTCGACGCAGTGGGTGCAGCCCCTACACTTGCCGTTTACACGCCGCAATTTTCTTGCGAACCAGCGTTCACACGCCATATTGCTCTACACAAACTCGCGTTGACGCAACACAACCTTTACGCAAAACCGTGTTAACAAACCTCACCACGCTGCAACCTTTACGCAAACCAATGTTCACACACCATATTGCTCTACACAA